CACTCCTGTACTCTTCTATCTATCAATGGAATGATACGCAATCGTTGCGTATTCGCGAAAAAAAAACTTGAAGCATAATGGCCCCATCTCAGGTGCTCTGTACTAGCTTCTTGATGAATGGAAGCAGTGCTGCTGATATGGAGTGTCTGAACAATCTACATGAGGTGGTTTTCTGCAATTAGTAAAAAAAACTTTTGATCGACGCAGTTAGCGGACTACATGGGTGCACTGACCAGGCTCTGTTTATATTACCTGTTTTCTGTTTGAGTGATCTTACTTTGCTTGAATTGAGATTAAACTATTAGCTTACTATCAGGTCTGCACCATTCTAGATATCATCTCGACTTTTAACTTGTGAAACTGTTACATTGGATAACATAAATAGGAAATTTTGTCAATTGTGAAACTGTAACTAATAGCTTCACCTGAATATTGATCTATTGTGTTATTGCAGGGAAGAGGTATGAAGTGCTCAACTTAGGAGGGAGCATAGACAAGGTATTCCACGCTTCCCATTCTCCTCCTGTAGCAAAGGAACATCCAACCTGTCATGTGTCGCTCACTAACTAATAAACAGGAATCTGACGTTGGAAAGAAGCTACTGGATATCAAAGCAAAAGGATCACAGCTCCTCTTAGAAATCAGCGAAGTATTCTAATTCTGGAGACTCTTATGCCCCTAGATCTGCCAAGCAGTCGCAATTGCTGTTTTAGTCAAACTAAAGAATTATTAACTTTGCAGTGTAAGCAGACCCTTGAGCAGGAGAGCGACGTAACTGCTAGCTTCCCTGTAAGTTCAGTGTGTTTCTTAACCGTAAACATCATTCTGTTATCAAGTCATTCTCCATGTGTGTTATTTCAGCCTGTTGCCTGCAGGCTGCAGTACAGGAGATGGATAAGAAGTCCTTGGAGGAAGGATACAAAGCTCTACAAGGTGATGGAGCTGGAGAAGCCGAGTACTTCCAGTCTCTTGAAGAACGAATCATTAAAATGAAGGTGTTTTACCGATACTTTTCAGTTTGGTTGCTCCATGATTAAATCTAATTGATTTCCTTTTCTTCTTCTCATTGAGGAATACATATACTTTTTTTTGAAACAATTGAGGAATACATATACTGCCTCCGATCCAAATTAATTGACGCAGCTTTAGTACAAAGTTGTGCTAAAGTTGCGTCAATTAATTTGGATCGGAGGGAGTACTTTACTTTCAATGATGCCATGTGCAGTCTTAAGAAGCTGACATCTTTCTCTGCAGGGAGTTTCTGATCCTATTAAATGCTGTTGCGGACTGGAGTACAATGTAGAACTAGGCGGGGAGTCCATGGGTGTAAGATAAACTCAGATGCAGATGACCACAGGTTCAGTGCGTTTAAAGTATGTATATGCGCAGCTGCCGTAGGTACAGCTTGACAACTCCTTAGGCCGCTCTTGGGAGACCGGTTTATATTTTCCACCAGTATTAATCTACAAAGGGTATTTTCCTGTGCACACCTGAGATACAAGTGTAACGAAAACACGATTGTAAAATTCTGGATTTCTGCTTGGATCGCATCGTATTTAGCCCGTCAGCAACGTACAGCACAACAAGCCATTCTGAGATTCAGAAGCTTCAGCAGGGATAGCGCCAGATGCCACAGCGATGCGGACAATGACGGAGATGAATTCGCCACAGCCGTCGTCATAAACTTCACCGGTCATGGCGTGCTGCTCCAGTCTGTCGGCAGTCGGCAGTCACCACAGCCGTTGTCATAAAGTTCACTCAGGCAGTCACTGCGGACATTTCCACAGACCTTGCCAAGGTAGCTGCCGCCGCCACGGAACCCGCTCACAACTGCCACCAACGTTACCTCGGAGCCCACGCTCTTTGCCGGCCTGGTCAGGACCGCAGCCTGCTAGTTTGTTACCGCCTCAACCTGCTGGTCGGCGGGAACTCCAGCCGAGCATGGCAAGGCACGCGGCGTCGGCGCTAGGAACTCCCCAGGCCTTTAGTCCCTGACACTGGTGGCTCGTCCATTTCCTGTGCCTGGAGCCGTTCGCCCGGAGACCTGGGGAGAGAGTCAGAAAACGGGGAAAACAGATGTGATGAGAAGTGTATCCAATACCGGTCAAAACCGGGTGTAATCTCGAATACAGGTGCAAAATTTACGGACCAAAACGACCAACCGATCGTTAACCGGAACCCACCAGGTTTGTTTTTACGGGGGTGGATTTTACGGGCCTAATTGGCTCGAAAACAACTATTCAATCGGGGCCTTAAGGGCGAACCAAGCTGTGGTTGGATGGTTAGAGGGATTGTGGTATCCCCTGATGGGCTGCATGATATGCCGGCTCAGTCTTTCGGGGACGCTCATAGGGGTAGGGTATGCGTGTGTGCGTTCATAGGGACCGAGTGTATGCGCGTGTATATGAGCGCTTGTGTCTGTACTGATGTTAAAAAAAAATATGGCAAGAAATTATACAAAGGCGCAGAGACGTGCATCTTTTACAGGTGTATTAGAAAGAAATACGATAATCCAAATTTAAACAAATAAAGAGGCTGCCCAACTCGTCTCCAAGATGCTCCCTTGATTTCTAGTATTCGTGTCCGTTGGATCCTGGTTAAGGTGGTTTTTTTCCGTTGCTTGCCGTTGGATCCTAGTCAACATGGTATTTTTTTTGTTGCTTGCCGTTGGATCGCCACTGTGATTCAACGTTTGCCGTTTTCACCGTGCGGTCATTTTGGAGCGGCCAATGACCTGTGGGCTCGGGCGGGATCTGATAGGCTGGGTGGCCGTTTTTTGGGTGCACACGCAGCTAAATCTGTTGTGCCGTGTGGGTGCGCTTTTCCCATGTCGTGCGTCGCAGGGGAGTCGTGGAAGGTTAGCCGACACATGTGCACCTGGCTTTTGCGCCCGCGCTTGTGCTGTCCTGATGAGGGTGGGTCAGTGCTGCTCCTGGTCCTGCTCATTGATACGTCTCCATCGTATCTACTTTTTCAAACTCTTTTGCCCTTGTTTTGGACTCTAATTTGCATGATTTGAATGAAACTAATCCGGACTGACGATGTTTTCAGCAGAATTGTCACGGTGTTATTTTTATGTAGAAATAAAAGTTTTCGGATTGACCTAAAAATTTACGGAGAATATTTTCGAAACATATAAAAAATACTGGCAGAAAAAGATACCAGAGGGGGCCACCCAGGGGCCACAAGCCCGGGGGGCGCGCCCCCTGGCTTGTGGGCACCCTGGACCGACTACAACCCTAACTCCAACTCCATATATACCTATCCTCAGAGAAAAAATTTAGAGAGAAGGATTCATCGCGTTTTACGATATGAAGCCGCCGTCACCTCCTGTTCTTCATCGGGTGGGCTGATCTGGAGTCCGTTCGGGGTCCCGGAGGGTGCATTTTGTAGCCATCATCCTCATCATCAACCTTCCTCCATCACCAATTTCATGGTGCTAATCGCCAGGAGTGAGTAATTCCATCGTAGCCTTGCTGAACGGTGATGGGTTGGATGAGATTTATCATGTAATCGAGTTAGTTTTGTTAGGGTTTGATAGAGGCGAGGGTGTCCCGATCTTTCGATGAGATGATAACTATCGATTTGGTGGAGCCGACTTTGATGATCCGACTACAAACATGCACGACGTTGCGCATTAGCAATCGCTAAACCAACTTCGAGAGGTTATTGACCACGCCGGAGCACGATCAACCTGACCACGAAGGTCTATTCCTGCAAGCAATCGAAGAACAAGCAAGAATATGATTAAGCAATCTGAATATTGCGAATATGGATGAAGTATTGGTAAAAGTGGGGTTTCATAAGCGGTCTTGGTCTGGTCGTTGGACACAAACGAAGTACACGAAGTTGCAGCGATGGCTAACTTTTAACTAAATAAAACCCAACGAAAAAGCTACTAGATGGATCTACTTATACGGGAGCAAGGGGTGGCGGCCAAGGAGGTGGGAGAACGTCCCAAGGCAGCCTAAAACCAACCCTAGGTCGTACAAGGCTCATGGGCCCAAGTGGAGGTGATGCAACACCTTTGGACTTGTTGTTTGACTCGGATTCTGCTGCAGCGTCAGATTGTTTCGTCGATATCTCAATGCTCCGGACGAATTTGAAGGTGAATCCAATTGGGCTGGAAAGAGCACAAAATCTAGATTCCAATAAAAAAAAGAATCATCCAATTCGGAGTCCGTATGAAAAAATTGTTGGCGTTTTGAGTTAGGTATGTCTGTGCAGTCCGAATCTGAATCCAGAACATGAGAGACTTGAACTCTATCTTCTCTTGGTCCAAAAGTGACATGAGAGAACTTTTTGAACAGCAAGTAAACATCTCTTTCTCCCTTATCTTCATATGTGGATTGTACAAATGTCCCATACACCTGCAATTAGGCAAAACACAAAAGTGTGTGAAGTATTTTTGTTCTGGATAACATAAATAGATCATTGAATAGTTTGCACTAGAAATCACTTGACAAATATGCATGTATGCAATATTTTTGATCGTATCCAAGGTAGTCATGTCCTCATCATTCTCCCCTTCCTGAAAACAAAGCCGTCCTCGGCGTTGCTTAATCTGAAATGTGGCTAACAAAAGAGACAAGGTATACATGTTGTATATGTATATGTCATCCATTTTTACTTCCCTTGATTTTTGCACATATGACACATGTATACATGAGTAACTTTCATAGATCATAAAATATAAAGCCAAAATATTATAATAAATAGAAGGCATGAAAATATTGCAACTCAGTTTGCACATATAAGTGAAGCTCTTATTCCTATCAAAAGATTGACAATATTCATCATTAAACCATCCCAACATTGGTGAATAAACCTTACTTGCATCAAATTTACATGCTACAACATGCTTAAATAAGCAAACATGCAGTAAGTCATTGGACACAGAATCATCATCAAGATTAGAGGTCATATCAAAATGATTAAACATTGATTCTTTTGCATCAATAGTTAATTCAATGGGTGCACTCAAAATTGTTGGTATTTCAGTTGTTTGATCACATGGCGAAGTCAAATTATCAACATAGTCCTCTAAAATAGGTGGTGTGATCAAAGTAGTGGGTAGCTCAACACATGATGTATTCAAGTTAACTAGGCATGCATCATTCTCATGTGAAAGTGGAAAATCTGTACCTTTGTCATTACCTCTTATAATCAACTCAGATGATGCAGACACTCTCGATGGTGATGTGTCACATGGTGGGGATGACGTAGTCCTCGCAACAACGGATGTGATTGTCATAGTACGCCTAGTAGTTGAATAAACATCTGTATCAACTGTTGAAATGTGCATCGTGTGCTTGTTCTTCTTGTGGGCAACACGTCGTTTTATTTCCTGTTCAGCTTTGCAAGCAAGACGGAACAAATGGTCCATAGGATAACACTCTTCATGAATTAGTATCTCCTGAATATCATGGTTTAATCCTCCCCAAAATCTATCCATAAAATCTTTTTCACTTTCTTCTAAAAATGAGTGCAACAAGGTAGTTTGTAAATCATCATAATATTTTGTTACGGTGTCACTACCTTGTTTTAAATGTTCTAATTTTTTAATCATGTCACGAGTATAATAAACATCGATGAATCTATCTCTCATGACATGTTTTAAATCATCCCAAGTATTAGGTACATAATCAGGGTGTAACCGACAATATTCACTCCACCAAACAATAGCAAAACCAGTGAATGTACCAACCGCGAGCTTAACTTTTTTATGCTCAGAAAAATTATGCAAAGCAAATATAGCATTTATTTCGAACTCCCATTCAATGTATAAATCAGGATTAAATCGACCATTGAAAGGTGGCATGGAAACAAGAACCTGATTGTGTGCATTCCGATGACTTTGTACCTCTTGTGATGGATGTTGTATTTTCTTAGGTGGTAGCAAATCTCCCACGATCGATGAAGCCCAAGAACTAACAACTCCGGAACCTACCATAGTTAGTAGAAAACAAGATACAAAATCCGAGAATAATGTTCCTATGAACTACTAGGATGTGGTGGTAAAATGCTCACAGTATAGAAAATATCAATATCTTACAAGTTCTTACCATGCAACAGGTGGTGACAGGCAACCAGCGGTGTCAAATATCTCTGAAGATTGAGTAAAGCGATTGCCAGGGGAGCGTACGTATACACGGTGTAGAAATATGTGAAGCTGGGTTGGCTATATATGGTAGCAAAAGATTAGCAATAATCAATTCAGAGATGCAATGTTGAATAAACGCTCAACAACGGTACTATGTTGGTCCTAGGCTAGACCGGACTAGAGACGCGAGCCTAGAACACTAATGAGGTTACGGCATAGCACAACTACCATC